TCTTACTCACAAATCAGGGAGAAACAGTTCTCAGGGAAAAACAACTGGAGTTTCACAATTAGGCAGCTATCCACTTACCCAGGAGTAAACCTCTTTGAATTCAATGGGACTTATTTCTGAGTAGACCTGGGAATGAGCTGTAAATCACCTATGTAAAGCACTTGAAACCCATCTTTTAGTTATGTATGTATGTATTTCCTATACTACCCAATAGCTGAAGCTTTTGCGGTAGTTTACAGCATTTCATAAAAGCAATACAAAAATACCATTAAAACTTAATAAAATACATTTGAAAACCTCTGAGACAACCTACAATGAAGTGTAGCCCTGTAAGAGTTGTCTTGGATATCTAAGTATTCAAGAGGTCATTTTGGAGGTTATAGATGGAGGGCCACCACAAAGAGTTGGCAGTCAGAGGAAGGCCCCAGATGTTGAATGTGGTCTCCACATAGGTACATCTCCACAAGGAAGATTGCTTGGGTGAAGCAGCCTCATTCATAGTTGTGGGAACTTCAGTTATGTCACTGTAATCCCTCCAGAAACGGTTACCATGAGGTGTTTTACAGAGGGTGGAGTCAATGGTACCCACTTAATCCCAAGGTATTATTTCCTTATCATTATGCTGAGATAATTCCTATTTGTAGCTACTTGGAACTCTAGAACAACTCTAGGTTGTTCTCTGGTTCCCAAAATAATGGAGCCAAAATTACTTGTAATGGTGTTCCGGACAGCAGTTGTTGTGCATAAAGGGGGCTAATGATGTGGTTTGAACTAATTACAGGGAGACTTTCTACATTGGCATCACTAGCAATGAACAAGTGAAGAGATTCTCTTCAATCTAACCATATGAAGAATGGCTTTCAAACAATAATAGTTACCCTGTGGAATGCCATCATGTATAAGTGCTTCTTAGCAGCTGCTTCCTAGGAATTGGAACCTGTGATGTGACTCTGCGAGCATTTCTAAATGAACGGTCATGCCACTACCACGCAGAAAGTGGTATAGCTATTCCATATTTTGTTTCCTTGACAGAGTTCTGTAAAGTAAGGGAAGAGTAAGGGAAAATATGGGAGAGCCACACACGGAAGATGATAGTTCTGCCCTCTCCCTGTAAAATTCCATGAATGAGACAAAGAGATGGTGCCATAAAAACCTCATTTGTATGGATCCCTGGGCCAATTTGACATGACAGCAGCAGCTTTGCTTGCTTCTTCTTGTGTCAGTGCCATCCATGTATAATGTGTGGGCTGAGGATGCCTGGTTTTAATATTAGGAGGAGTGTGCAGCTATAGGGACTGAACTCCTTCTAAACTTATTTCTCTTTGGCTGCTTGCTTAAATTCAGTTTTATACCTCCAGTAATGTGAGCTGGAGTTGAGGGGGGGGGCACAAAAACAATATAAGGGGAGGTTCTGCTCCCCCTACCTGCATACCTGCAACATCAGATGACTCCACCCCTTATTTACACATCAATGGGACACATGATCAAATCGATGTGGCTACCATAATTTATTGTTAAGTTGCATCATTTGCACTCTGGGCCTTTCTTAAGACAACTTGAGTTCCCATTCCCCTAACTCCATACCAGTGCATTTTTCTTTAGTTGGAAAAATAGAAATTCATTTAAAAAAACCATATTTTACATCAGCATTTAATACAGCAGTATTAAAAAGTGTCTCAAACTGAAAGGCCAAACATTGCCATTGCAAAATATAGCATCCCTTCCACACTTGGGAGTTTCTTTTCACATTTGGTCAACTAATGTAGCATTAAATACCCATTTAATGTCTGTGACTGTGCCAGTAAGAATTAAGTGCAGTTTTGGCAGGGGCAAAGCTCCATCACCCTGCTCTGCAGCTAGGCTATCAGCCAAGTTATTGACTAATAACTTGGAGTTTGGGGAAAAGCAGTTAGTGGCCAGTGAATTACTTTTGCAAGTTGAACAACAGGACAATAGCAACAATTCTGTTTACTTAACAGTGTTCCATTAAATAACGTGCCATGCAATCTCAAAGTATTGAAATATTTCCCAGTTTTTAGGATTGCTGACCTTGGAAGGAAAAGGAAACTTCATTTATTAAAAAAAATCCTGCCTTTTGGTCTAATTCTGTCACTGAGGCATACAGATAGTAGATAAAGCAATTTACATACATTTGGGAGATAATAAAGCATGGTGGAACAAAACAAGTTTTTAGTTGGTGTCTGAATGCCATTGTGGAGGAGGCTGGCTGAATCTCCTGGGGCAGAGAATTCTGCTGCCTGGGTGTCAAATCAGAGGAGACCCTGAAGGGTGGCTCCAGGTTTGAGGGTGCCAGATAAAGTGACCTCCAGTGGGTTTGGCCCTGCTAAGGGTCTGCACCCCAGCAGGCAATCATTTTCAAGACCCTCCTGGAGTTGTTCTTCCTTCCAGCATTGCAACCTGTTCACTGCCTCTCATTCTGACCCAGCAGTGTCGGTAGTAAGGAGGAGGGGCAATGGAAGCCAGAGGCTGCTGGTTTGGCCTGACAGCTGGAGGAGGAACAGCAACTGGTGGCAATGGCATTGAAAAGGGAGACGTGTGGAGAAAGCAGGGCCATTGAAAGCACCTTGTGTAGCTGGGAACTGGCACTGGTGATCTCCCCTCCCCTTCCCAATCTCCTTCTGCTTCAGTTATTCTAATCAAATGTACATGACAGTGAGAAGGTAGAGAGGGCTGGCTGAACTTGTTTTGCCCAAAGACTTCCAAAAACCTTGACTCAAAACTGCTCTCTCCTACTCTGAAGGTGGCTTGAGGCTGCCATTTGACTCTCTTACAATGCCCTGGAGCAGTGAACATAGTGTCACCCAAGGCTGCTGTGAGAAAGAAGGTGGCAGCTGACACACTCAGGTGGCTGACCAGGCTGGAGGGCAGGTGTCCATACTTGGTTGTTCTACGTTACCAGATTTGGACACCAGGCTTGAAGACTTTCTCCTGCTTACTCACAAGTCCCATCTCTGATGGTCCCAGGATAGGGAGCAGGTTCTTCCCCTGGTGCTCTGAGTGGGTGGGCAGGATCAGTATCTTGTTGCCAAGCCATTTGGGGCTTCAAAGGGAATAAGGTGTAACCAGCATTTTGAAATGGGTGAGGAAACAGGGCTGAAGGCAGGGAAGCCAATACAGTGAGCTACATATCCCAAAACCCAGCTACAGTCAAAGCTCCAGTTGCTGTATTTCTACTAAATGAAGTTTCTGAACACTTTTAAAGAGCAATCTCATGTAGAGCAGGAACATCCAGCCTCAATGTAAGTAAAACATGTATGACCACAAAGGCAGATCTGCCCTTTTCTTTTACAACAAAGTACTCATGGCTACAGCCAGCCACCACCAGCCTATCCAGAAGCAAAGCACTTATCTGGATAGAGTCCAGGAATACACCTAGGTTAGGACTATGATTCATCAAAGAGAATTCAGTGCATCCAGTGCTGTACCCCATTCCTGAATCAGCAATGCTACTGGCCAGGACCATTTCTTTCTTGCTTAGTTGAAAAATAGTTCTTTGTCCTCACTGATGTGACTTCCTCCAGGTGTGAGGTATGACCCTTGAATCCATTGCCTTCTCTAAATATGGTCTTTGCACACCTGTCTGTAAGCATCACCACCAGAGTGACCAACTTTTGCTGTGAATTTCATTCCAGAAGTATAACAAGAGATGAATCAAGAATCCCTTTCAGTTGGAGTCTTTTGATTCATTCTATGTTGTGAAAATAAATGTGCCAGTGAATGTGCAAATGAGTCAGAGATTGCTTATCCGGGAATAATTGTGTAAGCCGCTTTACCATGAATCAAGTCCCTCCCTTTTACCCACGAATGTCAGAAGACTGCTATCTTGGGTAAAGAATAGGAAACCTAGATGGATCTTGTATGACCACAGAGTAAGAAAAGTGAATGTTTTATATGTTAGCCCCCAATCACCATGTCGGGCTTTGCTTTTCCCATGTAGGACCTTGCTTTTATTATCTGTTAGATTTTTATCTCACTGTTTCTCATAATTTCCTTGAATATGCAGCTACTTTTTTTAAAAAAAGAACATATGCCTATGCATGCTTGCTCCTTACTGTTTTCAGAGGGGCTTTATTCCTGCGTAAATATATTTAAGATTACAGCTGTAGCTTCTTAGGCTGCAAACTTATACCAATTTATCTGGAATAAAGCTTCAATGAAATTGACCTCTGTGTAGCCATATGTAGAACAACAATGTTAATTTTGCTCTTGTTAATGTTGACGGTTTTTATTGCTATCTTGTTTGGAGTATTATATATTTGTATTTTATTTTAAAAGGCACGGAACACTTCACAGCAGTGCTGAGTATAGATGCCAAAACAAGCAAAATAGGAATAAAGAAAAGTGTCTTTGTGTAAAGGCAAAGGTCTTGTGACATGTTCAAGACGAACAGAGGTGTGGTCTGCGTTTTGTAGGCAAAAGCCAATTTCATCAGTCTGTTGGGCATGTGCTGAGTGCCTTAGTCACAACTGACGCACCCAACAGGTGGGCAACTGAAGGGAACGGGAATCGCACACTTCCGAAAGGCGGCGTGCTGCGGCCCCGGCCCTCACGTTCCTGTGTGGCGCCAGTGGCACCTTAACATGGTGGGCGGCGAGGGGAGGGGGTGCTCAGTGACGCAAGGAGCCCGAAGGGGCGCGCTCGGTGAGCCAAACACGTGGGCGCCCACGCGGCCGCCAGGTCGACCGTCCATGGAAGAACGTCACCCCACCGTCCCCTGCGTGGAAGTGGTACATCCTGCGTCTCCCCTTGGCGCTGGGAAGAGTAGTGCAGCCTGCGGAGCGAGCGAGCGAGCGAGCATCTGGCTTCGCCGCCTCTTCCTGGATGGAGCAGGTTTAGCCGCCGCCTGCGCAGGAGGAGGAGGAGGAGGAGGAGGAGGAGGAGGTGAGCGCAGAGCGGTGAAGGGGCGAAGGCGCGCGCCCGAGCCCAGCCTGCCTTGACCCAGCGGGCAGCAGCGAGGGCGGCGGAGAGGCGGCGGAGGCATGGCCGGGCGAGGACGGCTCTGGGCGCTGCTGCTGGCGCTCTGCGGCGTGCTGGGCGCCCTGTGCTTGCAGGGCTCGCGGGCGGACGAGCCCGAAGCGGCGGCGGCGGCGGCTGCAGCGGGCGGCGGCGGCGCGAACCGGCGGCGGCGCCTGAGCCAGGCGGACGGCATCTCTTTCGAGTATCACCGCTACCCGGAGCTGCGGGAGGCGCTGGTGTCGGTGTGGCTGCAGTGCTCGGACATCAGCAGAATCTACACGGTGGGCCGGAGCTTCGAGGGCAGAGAGCTGCTGGTCATCGAGATCTCCGACAACCCCGGCGAGCATGAGCCTGGTAAGGAGCCGGGGAGGAGGGCGAGGGCATCGATCGCGGAGCGCCACTCCAGTTGGCGGCACCTTTGCAGCAGGGCGGCTTCCACGGAGCGACACCGCTGCCGCCCCCTCTCCCTGGCGCCGGGGCTAAGGCACCATCTAGGGCCACGAAGGAAAGCCTCCCGCCCCACCCCGCCAGCTTTTCTTTCACCCTTCCAGGAGGCAATCCTATCGAAGGCTAATCGTCTTTAATGCATTACTCTCCTCCTGCAGGCACGCGCGCTTCCCACGTAATCAGGGACGGACAGGAGGAATTAGTAGTAGGTCTCAGCGGGATTGCAAGTGGATCAGCAAGGATCCCTCCCTACTCTTAAATTATTTAGTAATAGCTGCAACAGAATGACTGTCTGTGCCTTGCCTTGAATTATACTGCTGAAATGAAGAAGAAAAGCTTTAAAAGTAATTGGGATTTCGTGGGTGGAAGAATCGTGCACTCCGTTCAGTTCTGGTACTCAGAACGCATTCCTGGGCTTTCACGCTCTGGGAGGTAGGGAGGAGATCTAACAGCTGAAATCTGCCACTCTTGATGTAGATCACCTTTATGGTAGTGGACTGGGGAGGGGGGGAGGTCTTATTTCAGGGTTCAGAATAAGCTAGAATAAGGCAGCTATGATAGTGAAAATTATGCTCCATCTTAGGGCCACAGGAACATATTTGAGCGCTCTGAATACATTTGTATAGCTCTGTATAAACTGACATGTGTTGGGGTTGGTGGTGATCTTCCATGTTAACATGCTCTAGGAACGGTGGTGTAGTGGCAAAGGTAGAAGGGGAGGTCCCTTCATGAGAGTCAGAGTCGCACCTGAAAGCCACGCCCACAGCAATGCCACACCTGAAGCAACACCAGTTTCCAAAGTTATGCAGCCTGTCATTGTAGAATAAGAATGAGCTTGGTCACTTTGTCTGAATTTCTTTTGAATAAGGAATGCAAGATGGGGGTATCTGCTTTTGAGGTAAATCAATGACAGCTTCTAGAAGATATTTGTGAGTGTCTTTCTTATGATGAAAGAATGATTTTTAAACCTGCATGCGTACTCTGCTCTCCAGACAAGAAGCTCCCAGAGTGCCTTATGTGGAATTAATATGGCAGTTCCTGCCCACAGGCTTACTCTAAAATCATGACGTACAAGACGGAAGGAATAGGGAAGGAAAAAGAAAAAAAGGAAACTCAGGCATTAATTACCCACACTTACAGAAACATACTTAATTATATTCTCCCAAGAATAGCTGTCTGGCTTGAGAGTCACTGTTTGGTTTCTTCTAATGTTCTGTGGCCTCTGACTTTGCATGTGCATGTGTGTGGGAGACCTTCTATGAGTCCAAAATCCACAACTCTGACACAGTGGCAGCTGCCAGCCATGAACCAGCAAAATGTAGTCTCTTGAGAGACAGTGTAGGAGTGGTGCTGACCCTGGCTTCAGGGATCCAGCAGTCCCCTAAGGGCCCCCTCCAAATAAGCGGGTGACTCCCCTGAGATCCCTCTCCACTATACCCTTGCTTAGGCACCTGGTTAGCTATAGCCATATTTTTGAGGCATTCTGTGGTGGGTTGAGTTGGCCATGGGAAAGCAGAGAGTGCATGCTGAACTCAGCAGGGATTTACTTTTGACACGTCTTGAAAAACCTTCCTAGTCTTAAAGAGACTGACGATGGTGAGGAACTCCTGGAAGCATCTTTCTTCTCGAGTGGGGCACATGAACACTGGGAGCTGTTCAACCAGGCTCCTTACAGACTGCCTGGCAACCATGTTCTATCTTCTGCCTTACTTGAGGATCTAGTAGGCTTTAATAGGGATGGAGCTGCACTTACAGCAAGAAATAGACATGACTGGTGGCTCCAGCACATTCTCTCTCTTTCTCCAGGAATGTGATATGGCTCCTACCTAGTAAAGTCCTTCTTTATCACAGGGGCTTCACACCTCAACCATATATCTGAAACTGCTTGCACACGTAGGCAGATTAGGTGATGAGTAGGACCTCCATGTCAATGCCACCACTGTCCAAGGTGGAGCATTAAAAGTACTGGCCAAAGTATTTGCCATATCATCTTGCTGGCATACTGGGGGAAAGTTTCATGGATTTACGTTCAGTATTTCTTAATTAAGATGATTTGTAGACTGCTTTTCTATTAAGAAGGACCTTGACTGCATTATAATTGCATCGTGGTATCCTTCACTGTGTGAAAATGCATTCCTTTCAACAGGGCAGGGGGAGGCAAAGGGAGTGAGAACTTAGAGAACTTAGAGAAGTGTAATAATTCAGATCTGTTATTGGGAAATCCAGGTGTTTGGCAGTATAGAAATGTTTGGATGATATGAGGGCATAGAGACTTCTGCTATGGTGGGAAAAAGTGTAATACGTTCTACAGTGTCTTGGTCTTGCTGGTTGAATAAGAAGGATTATAAAAATAACACTTGGGAGGGATCAGCTCTGTTTTTATGAGAATAAAGATGTAATCTTATGCATGTTTAGACAGTAAAAAGCCTTACAGTCAGCATTCTCTACCCAGTGCTCAGGATTATACTTTCTTAAGTAGCATAGTGGGTATGATAATTTGGAAATTAGAGTGTAATGACAAATATAACTTTCATTGGTTTTAAAAACTTAGAGCACGGTCCCCTGGAAATTGCTCCTCTGTGTTCCCTCTTGAGTTGTATAAAGGATAGATGTGCTCTGGCTTAACTCTTATTCACTTCAGAAAGACTTTTAAGGTCCTAGATGGTCATATTTTTTGGCCTTCCATAGTTATATGTGCTGGAAATTAATGGGGCTTTAAACTGCATAACTGTATTATAGAGTTCAGCTTTGTTTTCTAATAGTTGCCAAGCTCTCTGGGCAGAGACTCTTCATAACATCTGAGCAAAGTTTATGTATTTATTCATTGAATGTATATCCTATCTTTAAATGGTGATCAAGATGGCTAGCAGTGACAGAATACAACTTTATGTTTAAGACATGAAAGAAAATCAATTCAGAACACATCCATAAAAAAGAAATTAAACAGCAGTTAAAATACACTGTCCATTATTAATGCTATTCATTCTATGAGATCTATTTAGAGCCTTTTAGAGCCCGCCCTTCTCTGTTATCCCTTGAACTAGCATGACTTGTCAGGAGTAGTGAATTTCTGTGAAGGTCATAGAAAGGAAAAAGGGAATTCTAGGTCATGTTAATAGTGAATGGCAAAATACTTAATTCATGAGTTTTTCTGCTCAAATGGATTGCCCCTGGAAACACCACATTCCTATTCTGAAAGTGTTGGATGCTGCTCCTGGAACAGAATTGGCAGGGCTGACCATGTGCAGTTAGCCACTGTTGGATTCTGCCCAATGGGTAATAGGTCTGGAGTGGGGGTTGTGAATGGAAATATAGCTTAGTCACAGAGTACATGCTTTGCATACAAAAGGTGCCAAGTCCAATCCTTGGCATCTCCAGGAAGGGCTGGAAAAATTCCTGCCTGAAGCCCCAGGGTGCTGCTGCTAATCAGCTAGGCAACAAAACCAAGCTGGAAGGACCAGCGGTCTGCCTTAGTATAAGGTGGCTTTTTTGGTGTCTTGATCTTGCTGTCTTTGTAATCATTAAGTTTTATGTTGATGTAACTGATATTTTACAGAAACATTTTCAAATGGCAACCAAACAATCTTGGGCAGGAAAGGTCTTTCAAAACAAAAACAACATGGTTGGTGTTCAGCATTTTAAAACTGTTTGCAGCTCTGAGGATCTCAGGAACAGAAAAAGGCTGTAACTTTGTAACATTACCAAATATTAGCTGTTTTTACTTGCCCCCAAACAGAAAGGGCATGCTTGCATTATGTCAGGGCTTGCAAATGAAATGAAATAAAAATCATGCAGCCTAAATCATGGTTTTAATGGTACTGATAGACAATTCTCAAAAACATGAACAGGATGGCACTAGTATACATAAATCTGAATAAGGTCCAGGAGCTGCTGTGCTTTGTGTGAGTGTCTGCTTAAAGCTACAGAACATAACCTGCCAGTTGCTCTCCGTTGCCTGGAAAGCTCACAGCTGATGGGTGCAAGCCCTGTTGATGTTAGCGTGACTGATTTCTGAGCGATCATGTATGCAATTGCTGTAAGCCTTCCAGAGTTTCATTTTTGTTCTTCTTAGGAAAACCCTGGCCCAGCCTAAGACTCAGCTATGTGCACTATCAAGCCAAAATAGTTCTTAGCTGCCAGCGTAGTTTAATCATTGTTTTGTTTTAACATCTTTGAAAGTTCCTAAAGTTGGCTTCCTTCTGAGCTGATTTGATTCTAATTTGTCCAGGTTTTTGCTTTGCTGGGAACTTGGTGTCTTTTTGCTGAGAGGTCAGTAAGTAAACCTCGGGTTTCCTGGGTAGAGATGTGATCCTGGGAATGCCTTGCAAAATGGAGGAAAAGCAGTTGGGATGACAGCATGGCTGCCATGCATGTTGTGTGTGCTAAGAACCAAGGAGGACCTAGCAGTGAAGGGAACCTGCTTGGGACAACTTGCTTGTGAAACCCAGGTGGAGTGAAGAGGGATTAGATAAGTAGGGTGGGGTGGAGAAGCAGACAAAATGTTTAGGACTGCTCTCCCAAACAGGCACTGTTAGCTAGGTCTGATGGAAGCTGTAGATCAAAGCATTTTGGAAGCCTGAACTAGAGAGAAATTTCCTGTCTGAAGGAGTGGTTTGAACTCATCCCTTTTACTGACCAGAGAAAGCTGAACTGGTAGAGACACCTGCCAGGAGAATCCCTTCTTGCATCAGGTAGCCCCACTGAGCTATTCCAAGAGAGGCTGAAGTCAGATAGGGAAGTCAGTTTCCATAGAGCTTGCTCCAGCTGCACCCATAAAGGTAGAAGAATTGATTTTGTTGCAAGCTAAGCAGTTATAACCCACTTAGTTCTTACAGTAACTATATCTTGTAATTAAATGTCTGTGTATGTGCACATGTGTGCATATGCATATAGGAAAGAGAAGCTAG